GTTATTATAAATACACGCCATCATAGAGTTGTAAATTATGATGGACTTATTTGTTAAATATACTTTAATAAAGTTGAAAGAAAAAAAATAGAATTTCCTGAGGAACTTAGAGAAGGCTCGTTGAAAACATTTCCAAGTTTTCTCTTTGAAGGCTGCTCTGGGCTTCCTCTCACCAAATCGCCAAGCAGGAATTCATGCTGTTCAGATCTCTTACACTAACAAGAATCAAAATTCTCCAAGTCATTTCATGCCAGACACTTAAATGGTACACCTCTAATTTTTTTAAAGATAAAAAGTTTATTCTCAAATATAGGGCAATGCTGTTTGACAAGTTAGCAACATTTAACTGACTAGGAAATAAGGACCTGCAAAATTTTTCAATGGCTTTGACCTTCCTTCCCAGTAAAGACTTACTGCTTTTGAATACCAATTCTACAAGGAGTAAAACTGGTGTCTAGTTAAGTTAGAGTTATTACACCTTACCAATTAGTCAAAAGAGAAAACTGTATCAACCAATAAAGTAACTGAAAGGAGAAAGCTCCACTGATACATGAGAACTGCCTGATAGTTTACTGAAATAGATCCAAGAAAACCAAGATGGACTACTAAACTGACTGCGTTTTATCTGCTTTCTAAACTTTCACTCATATTTGCAAAAGAAATCTGCATCAAACCAATGAAAACGGATGGCTGAACATGACTAATTCATCAGAAAGCAATAATGTATACGAGTAATGTGTTTGTTAATCTACTGATGGGCTGTAAGGCTGCCTCAGGGCTCATCCTGAGAATGATTCCATGAAACACTTGATGTCCTCCTCCTTCATCAGTCTGTTACTGGTATTGATTTGAAGCATTTCACTGATCATTTCATTTGGTAAATGAAATGATAAAAAAAAAAAAAGATATAAGTATATAAATACTTTTAGTTTAAACCACAGGAACTTGGATTTCATAGAAAGTGAACAATTCTTCAGGTTAATGTTACCATTATTTTTTTTCTTACACCATACAATGTACTATTGGATCCATTACTCTAACACAAAGTATGTCCAGAAGTCCTCATAGAAATGGTTAGGCATTGTACCTTTACTGCCATAAAAACATAAAAGAAAAATTCCTTTATAATCTTCTGTATTTAGTCTAGAAAATACTGCACAGTTAGAAAATTAATTATCTAAAATATTCCTACATGGGGCTGGTGATTTAGCTCAGTGGCACAGCGCCTGCCTGGCAAGCGCAAGGTCGTGAATTTGATTCCTGGTACCGGAAAAAAAGCAAAACAAAACAAAAATATTCCTACATGACACCAACTGGACAAATTTCAACTTAGGAACCATAGGAATGCTACGAGAAATAAACACGAGACTTTGAGAAAGGGGCAGAAGACATGAGGAAGCCCAATGACATTAAAGTAAGTTAAGATTATTAAGATCTTGTACACAATAAAAGTAAGTAGATATTTGGTCATGGCAACAACTCATATTTATTAAATCCGTGGCAGTTTTCAAGAAGCTTTTATAAACATCATTTTATATAGCCAACCCATAACCCACAAAAGTAAGCACGGAACAGAATATTTATTCTCATTTTATAGATGAAGAAGCACAGACCACAAGAGATTAAGTGACAAAGCCACGCCCTTTCACTCTTAGTCTAATGCTTTTTCTACTATGTAACTAAATACAGGGTTGTTAACTAAGGGTAGTATGATCATTCCAATTCAGGATTTATAAACTCACTGGAAATGCCTCAGTTTTCAGTTTAAATTTATAAGTAACTACTTTCAAACCTCATCTTCAAAAATGAAAAGAAAAATCTTACCTACATAAAAATATACTAATCATAATGACTGGATTTCATAATATTGTATTTATTGGATCTTCTACTACTTTTCTACTCTCTGCCAAAAACAATTCTTTACTTGCTGAGCAAATAAACATCTTCCACAAACGTATCCTCTTTTTAACTTGTACAAATTACTGAATATCTCAGTCAAATTGGTAGATCCATGGGAAATGGAAGAGTATTTTTCAATGCTTTTTCTTAGACTCTAAAGTAATCAGTGGTGAATTTATAAGGTACCTAACATAGTAAAACTTGATGGCAAAGAAAATTGTCACTAGATAGGGAGACAGGTGCTAGGTACATCATGTCAGGAATGTTTGCTCATTTATTTACCCACTTAATAGTACTCTGGAAGTATAGAAGTAAACTTACAGATACTGCAGAAATAAGTGGTTATCACAGATTGGGTACTATTACAAATGATTTATGAATATTGGCTCATTTTATTTATTTATTTATTATTTTAAAGAGAATAAAAAACCAATAAAAACAATAACAATTTCAAAACAAGATGACAGGAAATCAAACATGGTTGTTATATTAAATATTGTTATCTTCAAAGTAGTTGCTCAGAGTACCAGATACGGGCATGTAAGATTAATCAAACATAAACACTAACTGTTCCTTTCAATAAACTTTAGTAGTACAATTATCTTAGCTATTGTGTGTGTATGTGTGTGTGTGTGTATGCCCCTCTTCCTCCTTTTCTCCCTTCCCCAATCTGAGCAATGTAATTGAAGATAACAATATGTAATATAACAACCACTGTTAATTCCTATCATTTTGTGTTGAAACCTGGTGTCACTTTTAATGTGCTTGCTTTGTTTTGTTTATGTTTGTGATGTTGGTATGCTGCTACTGTTCTTTTTTTTTCTTTTACTACTTTCTTTAAAATAAAATAAAAAATAAATAAATCCTAAAATATTTACTATCTGGCCCTTCACAGAATAATTGCTGACTTCTGCTCTACAACATTCTAACTTATGGCTATTCAACATCTCTACTTGAATATATAAAGAAAGGCCTCAAACCTATATCCAAAATCAAACTCCTGATTTCCTCTACTACCTACATCCTAACCTATATCTCAGTAGCCTTCCTCAATGGAAAATCTATCCTTTTACTTATAAAAGCCATCTACCTAAAGTATCTTTGAGTGTTACTTGCTTTTACTCATTTTCAAAATCATCAAGAAAATCTTCTTGGCTCTATCTTTCTTCTTTTTTTAATTTTAAAGATAAAAGAATCAAAACATACTAGCAAACACAGACATAAACAAAACAACATAAAAACAATAAACACAATACAGAATTTCAGATAAAGGGTGATAGGAAATTAACAATGGTTGTTGTATTACATATTGTTATCTTCAAATTGGTTACTCAGATAAACAAACATAGGCATGTAAGATTGATCAAACAAATATCAACCATTCCTTTCAATAAAGCAATGGAAGTTAGTAGTACAATTATCTTAGCTATCTTGTGTATACATATATACATATTTTTCCCTTCTTTCTCTTTTCTCTTTTCCCTCATCCCAATCACTCTTTCCTTTGGAGCAGTTTCTTTTCCTTCACAATATCTATAGTACCTTTTAATTTTATTTATTCTTTCAGGTTCTTATACTAGGGAGACAATATGATGCTTACACGTGTGAGTCTTATTTATTTCACTTATGAGTATGGTCTCTATTGCATCCATTTACTTATAAAAGCCTTGAGTTTATCTTTTTTTTTTTAATAGCTGAGGAATATTCCATTATATAAAAATACCACAACTTTTTTATCCATTCCTCAGTTGATGGGCATTTGGGTTGTTTCCACAATTTAGCTATTACAAATTGCGCTGCTATCAACACAGGTGCACATATATCATTGTGGTATGATGTTTTTAGTTCTTATGGAAAAATACCCAGAAGGGAAATAGCTGGGTTGAATGGGATTTCTAATCCTAGTTTACTGAGGTATCTCCAGACTGATCTCCACAGAGGTTGCAGCAAATATCCAACCACATGTCATTATCTCACTGCTAGCACCCTAGCCCAACCCATCACCAACCTGTTTCTGAACTAAACCTTCACCAATTCCCCCTTACTTCAACTCAAGCCTAATGTAGCTGTGAGATCATTCCTTCTCCTACAAACCCTGGCCTTCCTAAACACTCCTAGCATATCCCTGTCTCAGGGATTTGACAATGACTTGCCTCCCTTTCACTATAAACCTCTTCCCAAATACCACCTCACTAGGTAGGTCTTCCTTTTCTATCCAGTCTCAAGCCAAATCTCAGGCCCTGGGCTTATCTTTGCTTTGCTAATTTATTGTTCCCCATATTACCAACCCTTCAATACCATATGCATAACTGGTATTTAATTGAATATAAGTTTCATGACAGCAGACGATTAACTCACTTTTTTTTTTACTAGGATATCTCTGTACGAGACCATGGTCCAGCATATATTAGGTGTGTAAGCAGACATCTGCTGAGGAAATGAGGAAATGGCTCCTATATTCAAGATGCATGTGGTCTACTGACATATGGAGATAAACACATTCAACTTTTAAGTACTCTATTCTGAAAGACAATCTTCTTTCATTTCAGTCTGAATTCCCTCCACTGTGTCTCTAATTCTAGGTCCATGCTGTCTAAGCCTACTGTCTCCTCCCCTCCTAAGTCTTCTTTAGTCCCAATACTTGCTCCCATCACCACCACTCTCCATCAAGAAGGAGACATTCAGTTCTTAGCCATAAATGCAGTAGTTTTCACAATAATTAATATATTATTTAAAACAGTACCATTTCTAAGAATGTACTTAGATTTAATCAGTGTGTGGAAGAGTCAGGAGGAGCACTCTACTGTCTGACTTGGAAGCAATGTCAATTACAGACATACTCTATGTATGTGTGCACGTATGTATATAAACATGTGGGCGGGTTCTCAAATAGTAAAATGCATCAATGAACACATTATACAGTCATAACAAAAATAACAACATACCCAGGACACTGACCTGACAGCTTCTTTGTTTTCTGGTCATTTTTTTTTTAAGTAGGAAAAGCAGTTACAGTTCTAATTTATTGATTTTTAAATAAATACATGGGAAAGCTGCAGATGTGGTAAGAGAAGAGAATCAATGACAAGAAATAGCCATACCCTCTTCTCCAGTCTAGCCAGCTGCTCTTTGTAGAATGCATCCTGCTTCTTTATCATTCGGTCTTTCTCTTCCAGCTGCTTAGCCTAAAAAAAGAAATGAGGAATATACTATATCAAGAAAAAGCAGCAACAGCAAAGTAAAAGTTAACTATAAATTATATTAGAAGTATACAAAGCTGATGATTTTTGCAATCTATTAGGACTTTGCCATAGAAAAACATTAATATGATGATGATTGCTGTATTTAAATGTAAAGAATGGATCTGTATTGTACTTTTTTAAAAAAAGAAGTGTAACAGCTGTGTCCTACTTTGTCCAAATGTGTTTGGAAACTTGAGAATATAGCACATAACAGACTGTCTTATTTAATTTCTCTTTTGAAGAATAATTTCAAGGATTAATATTTTACACAATAAAAGTTGAATTTTATTCTGGGAATAAAATATATAGTAACTGACTTTCTTGAACAAAAAAATGCTTACATACTGTTTTGTACACAACCCTTACTTTGATTACTGTTACATTACCTAGGGAAACCTACATACAGATATATGTATAATTTTATTGTCCATTTATGAAAAAGCAAGAGTGGGGGGTGGCACCAAACTATTGTAATTATTTGAATAATTTAAAATAACAATAAAAGTAATTTTTAAAATTTTCAGTTATGCTACTTCTAAGTTATAAGATCACATTTTACAAAATTTGAAAAGCAGTGATATATCTGATTCTTTAAGGGGCTGGAGATTTAGCTCAGCGGCACAGCGCCTGCCTGGCAAGCACAAGGTCGTGAGTTTGATTCCTGGTACCGGAAAAAAAAAAAAAAATCTGATTCTTTGAGAAAGAATTAAGCCAGGGATGTAGCTCAGTTGCACAGCACCTGCCTGGCAAGCACAAGGTCCTGAGTTCAATTCCCAGTACCAAAAAAAAAAGGAAAATGAATTAAAAAGGACTATGGATGTTTTTCAAGATTAGTAAAACTACATACTTCTTCAAACTGTTGTTGGCATTCTTAATTATGTTTAATTTAGAATTAAACATAATTTAGTGTTTTTAATGGAAGGGACCGACCATTTGTTCCTAATGGAAGGGACCTCCTTGTATTGTCTCAAGCTAGAAAACAATTTAATATATTTTTTGTTCAGCAAATGGTAAATACATGTCTGGCTACTCCTTAAAAGAAAAAAAATATATTTTGGCATTCCACTCCTTGTGCATAGGCCATATAATTTTTCAAAGTGATCAAGTTCTGCCTAGCCCACTTCAGTGTGTGTCCACTCAATTCTCTGCTTAGTTTAGGTGAAATCATTTGCACTCTGTGGGTTGTGTCGTTACTTACCTTGTCTTCAAAATCCTGAAGCATGTTAAAAACAACAAACAGTTACCTAATAAGTATCATTTTTTTTCTAATATAACAGAGCAGTCAGATGGACAATCTCTAAAGTGCAAATCAAAAGTGGGAACAGGATAATAGTAAGGGATATGTAACTTAGGACACATTTAAATGTCATTGTGCTCTTAACATTTCAATATGAAAGGTTCATGCTACTTAAAAGCATATGAATAAATACAATATTAAGATTAAATAAAAATAAATTCATATGTGAGAACATAATCAATAGTATAGCACCATAAAAACCTTAGTAGTCTACCTGAAATACAAAAGAAAATATAAATGAAGGAAGTTTTTGTATATACATGTATGTGCATGTGTGCATGCATGGTGTCCAAGATCAAAACCCAGGGCACTGAGCGTGATACGCAAGCACTCTACCACTGAGCTGCAGGAAGAATTTGTGAGAGACAAAACTAACTGGAAAAAAATATCCATGACTATATATTTAAAGAGAAAAGACATCTTTCTACTCAACACATACAGCTAAAATATAAAAGAAATTAAAAAGAATGGACACATAAGAACCCCCATAAAACAAAAACATCATAAAGTCTAAAGAATAAACAAATGACAAAAAGAGGAAAAGAAACCCAATAGGTAACTGTGTAAAATTAGTATTACATGCTCATAACAGGGCTGTAATTCTTATAACTCAGTGCCGGACAGCTCTGATTTGAATTCCACCGTCTAATGTTAAATCTAATGTTAAATAGCTAACCACCAGTGGTTCAAGTCACCTGATGGGATAATCATGCATGTAGCACTTGGGGTTCAAGCCAGCAAGAATGTGTCAACACATGAGCATCTAAAACCAAGCCTCAACTTCCCCAATTCCCCCACCAAAAAAGAGTCAAAAGAAAAACAAACTTAAACACATAGGAAATCAAAGACTGCAAATTAAAATAAGGTTCAACACTCATTTATCAACTTGATAAAAATTTAAGGTTGTAATAGGCAACATTGGCAACCAAACTGGAAAACAGGCTCTCCTCTACAATGGTGGTCAGAATGTAAATTGGTATAATCATTTTATATGTCAGTTTGATAAAATACACTAAATCTTAAAAACATACCTATGCTCTTGGATCTAAAACTGTACTTCCAGGGCTTTTCTTAAGGAATTAGGTAATATATATACTCAACATATACTAAGCAAAAATGGGGGGAGGTCCTATAAACCGGAAGGGCAATAAACCCCCTTAAGATAGAAGGAGGGGAGACTAGACGACTATTCTATAAAATGGTCACAACATAGTAGTAGGCTTATGGATAGTTTCTATTATTCTTGCTTATTTATATTTTCAGAATTAATAATAAACTTAGTTTGTAGGCAGGAGGTAAAAAAGGAAAAGTTTTTGAGGTGAGGATACCTGCATTTTTCTTTATGGTGGTTGTGGCTACATACCTATGCATTTGTCAAAACTCAGCTACATATCAAAAAGAATCAATCTAACTATATAAAATACTTAAAGTAAAAATAAATTAAGCACAGTAAAATTTATGAAAATTTATCAATGGATGATGTGTATATAAGTATTATTATGTTCTGACGTGGCCAATTTTATTTCTATCATAGCAAGTATTCAATCATCGTAAGTATTAAGGAAAATACAGAACAATTATTACCCAGGAAAATTTAAAGTTTTATTTAAAGCAGCAACAGGCCAGGCATGGCGGCACACACTTGTAATCCTAGCACTCGGGAGGCTAAGGCAGGAGGATCATTGAGAGTTTGAGACCAGCCTGAGCTACAAAGTCAGCTCAAAGCCAGCCTAAACTGAATAGCAAGTCTCAAAAAGACAAATAAAATTAAATTAAATTAAATTAAATTTAAAAAAAACAAAAGGAATAAACTCAGTTTTTCTGAAGACACGGACAGCTTGAGAAACTTGAAGATAGCCCTTCACTTAGCTGTAGC